AAAGCACAACAATATTAGAAAACCAATGGTAATAAAGCAATAAATAATTGTCTAAATCTAAAAGAGTGAGGTGAGCAAAGTGTTAAGTTCTTTCAAGTTTTTGCCACTGCTGTTCCCAGGATGCTATGTTCAGAGCAACTGATGGCAGTCTGATTGCAATGATCACTGAAATTTCAAAGTGGTCCTGTCAGATACTGAACCCAACACTCCCATAAAAGTGTTACAGAAAACCAGGAAGCCAGAAAGCAAAACAAAATATAAACCGGTCCATTTATCTAGTTTGATGGGGATGCTTCCTTTTCATTCAACATATTCCCAACTGCTATAAAATGGCAGGACAGTTTTGTGGAGGATCTTGAAGGAGTCATGAGGCAATTTAGAGACAGATTTCTATGTCAACTTCTATTTTCAAAAATCCCAAATTGTTCCACTCCGCTCTGAATTCTTGTTATCATCCACAGCATACTGAATACAACAATAAATAAGATAGATTCAGACAGATAAAAGCATTCCCTGAGAAACATTCCTCCTAATCATTGAAATAGATGGAATTTCTCAGAAATTTCAGCAGAAGCTACTTCTTATTTTGTATCCATTCCTACCCGTTTCATTTTGCTTCCTAGTAGATCAGTTCCAGTTCCACTCCTAAAGCTCACATACAACATGCTTATCCATGGTTAATCTAATTTTTAAGTTTCCAAAAACTAGGCTAAATTCTTGTTAAGGATATTGTACAAAAGCACTGTCTCAACATTTGTAATCCAGCCCTGACCTCACATACTAAATGCTATTTATTGCAATGTTAGATTAGAAAGAAAATTGCAATAGCTTATCCCTTTAAATAATTGGTTTTTCCTATAGCAGCTTGCTGTTACCATACAACATCACAATATTTCACAAGTAGATATTTTGGTGTTATGCCTTTGTGTGTGTGTTTGTGTACCATTACTTGCATGGGACTGTCAGAGGAAACTGATTCTATACTGTTTGGAACCATTTTTTTTTTTTTTCAAAATAGGCCTGAAGCCAGCATGGAGATCAGTTTAATTTTCCTCCCAATAAGTCCCTTGACAGAAAAGAGAGGGTTTTTTTTTATCCTATTCATGGCATAAGGACTCTTGATGTAGATTGCCTTTTAATTCACTAGAAAACAGAATGTGCAGATATTAGATTTCTACTGGTATCTATTATCTGATATATGAAGATAATATACTGTACACTGCTCAAAAAAAATAAGGGGAACACAAGCAGAAGACATCCGAGATCTGAATGAATGAAATAGCCTTATTAAATACTTTGTTTGTTACATACAGTAGTTTTGTGTTCTCTTTAGGTGTTTGAGCAGTGTATAAACTACTGTATGTAAAGAACAAAGTCCTTCATCACCATGGAAGATGGCAGTAGAGCTACAAATGATCTACAGATTCAGAGTTCACTGCTTAAGTATCAGCTTTTGCATTTTTCACATATGACTTTTTCAGTGGTGGGTTGCTACTGGTTTGCCCCAGTTCAGGTAAACCGGTAGCGGCAGTGGCGGGAGGCCCCACCCACCCACCCACCCACCCGGACGCTTCTGCAGAAGCACCATGAATGTGCACGCGCCCACAAGCAAACTGGTAGCAGAGGGGTTTGGAACCCGACCCTGGACATTTTCCTTTCTACTTTGTGCAATTCCCAAAGTATGCCATTCTATCCAACCCAGAGGAAACATTGGACAATACAAATCTGAACTGGAAGTAGTGCAAGATTGGAAGATGTGGAGAGAACTGGCCCATAGAATAGTCAAGAACTGGACACCACTGAATGGATAACATCGAGATATAATCAATCTAAACTGGATAAAGTCTCTAATTAGAAATAAATCTGGAATGAGCTTTCATAGCATGATGTACAACAATCGTATTTCTATATATCATAATTTTCATTGTAAAAACTATTGGAAGAGAAGGAATTGGTGGAATAACATTTCATGGATGGGAAGCAAGATATCCATGTATAATAGGAGGAGAAACTGTGCCCTATTCCCCCAATACATATCTACTCTCCAAGCCATTAAGTGTGGTAATATAAATAGAAAAGAAGAACAGTACCCATTTTTCATATCACACTAAACCAGCATATTTAATTGTGCTTTGTTGGACAAATTATAGGGGTCTGTTTTAAGCCACAATTGGAAAGATCACAAGTGGCATGAAACCAAAAACAGATGACATAAGTGCTGTGTGTGAGCCCAGGCAATATAATGGAACAATGAATCCATCATGGAATGGATTTAAAAAAAAAAAAAAATCAAAGCTGGAACTTGGAATATTAATTAGAGGTCAATGGATGTCAGGAACTTAGAATATTAATTAGAGGCCAGTAATATTTTTAAATATCATTTAGAAATCTTAAGATCCAAATATTCTACAACTCTGAAGCATTGTAAGTGTATGATTAATTATTTTAAGAAGGAAGATTATGTTTTTAAAACGGAATTGTTTTTTAACAATTATCAACTTTGTTTCAATCTAAATAAATTAATGTGCATCTTGACAATATGGCTGAGTCATTTCTATTAGCACCTATTGGATATGTTGATAATTTTACATAGATATCTTAATCAGTAGACAATTGCTACACATGTGCACAATTCAGCAATGCAAAAGCTATAATTTTAGCTTTAGAAATGAATAAACTTGTATTTCCATTATTAACCCACACGTGAGTTTCATCCATTCCTGTGACACTGAATCTCAGAAATTTTCCCTATATGATATTACATAAATATGCATCCAGACAAATGGGAAAATGCAAGCAAATACCAATATTTTCTTCAATACCAGCATGGAGAATCTTTCTCATAAAGAATTCTGTTTTAAACTGCAGCACTACCACTAAAGCAAATTCCTACATGAATGAAGAATAGAATACCTTTAATTACTCAGTGACAATTTATTGCATTAGTAATTATGGAGGTGCTCTTTAATATATGAATAATATAGGCAGACCAAACATCTAAATTCTGATGCTATCTGACTGATTATTTAATATAAATAATCAATCAGATAGAGTGATCTTGTATTCACATTCTTCACATGAACTGTTTTAGATTAAAAAATCTCATTGGATAGCAAATCTATCTGATAAATATTTAATAGGAATTTGTAATCTAATACTATGTATTTGCTTAATCTAGTTCATTTTAGCACAAAATCTTTAGCCAAAGAAATTAGTTAACATCATTTATTTCAAAGACTTTCAGTTAGGAATAGAAAACCTGTGGCCTTCTGAATGTTTCAGAACAACTAATCCAGTGATGGGCAATGCTGAATATTGCATTTTGGTGACATTGGGAAGGCTACAAGTTCCCTGTCTCTGGTCTGGAGAATAATGCATTTAATAAAGTAAGATATGTTTCAGTCACAAATCATATGTATAGCAATGGCTCTCAATCGTTCATATCTTAAGTTCCATCAATCATTTTCAAAGAACCTGGGTTTCACTAAATTGGGCATGCCTGATTTAGGCAGGTGAATGGCTTCCCACCTGCCCAGTTTAGGCAGATGAATGGCTTCCCACCTAGACTACTATTGAATAAATACCATAAATACCGTATTGTATTAAACACAATACTATATGATGTTTCTTGCACTTGATGTAATTCTGTTTGTTCTCCTTGTAATCAAGGAACAAGGAAAAAACCCTCAACAACACAATGAATGTGCTTTGTATATATTTCCCCATTATTATGATATTTTAGTGAACAATGTTAACTTCGGGTTATTTTCTGTGAATGTTCTCTTTTTATTTCAACTGTTGTCATTATTATTGTTCCAATATGATTGGTACACAATGGATACAATGAATGCTTTAATCTAAATATATCATATTGTTTTCTCAAGGCAATAATAAACAACCACAGCAAATGCTTTTTATTTAATTAACTCTTTTTCATGTATTCTTATTTGTTAATCTATCAAATATTTTAGTTCAAAGAATTTGAACTAACAAAAGATTAGCTTTCCTGTACCTTGGGATGTTCCAGAATGGTGAGAAACCATTTCTTTCACAAACATTAAATAGCTGACATATTCTATTGTAGAGAAACAGACTGTATATTTTTATGTTAGTGGCTTTCAAACTATGTCCCCAAGTATTCTGGGATTGTTTGGAAATTTGTCAGGGACTTATCAGTGAGATTCTTCACAACACCAGATAAACCTAGATAGAATAGAGTTTTCCCACAGTTACTGATTTGGATTATATTACGCATCAGCAAAAGCTTCTATTCTAATGCCAGAATGTGCTACAGAATCTTGTTTGAGCATTTTAATTAAATGTAGGAGAAGTTGCTTAGCATACTCCTTAAGGAGCAAAAGATGGCCAACACATAAACATTTAAAAATCATTGATTTATTTAAAATTGTTGGAGTAGTAGTGCATAAACCTCTATGCAGTCCTTGAATACAAATCTCATGGTTATTTCAATACTATTTCAGAAGTAATAACATTTGATCCCTCTATCAGAAAACAAGAGATTTCCTTCTTAAGGCAGCCCATACAATTTAAAAAGTGTGAAGCTACCTGAAAAAATTTACAAGAATTATCTGACACAGAGTGTGTATCTAAGAAATTATCAGCTTCAGAAGTACTCCTGACTTGAAGAGATAAAGACTCAATATTGTTGCTCCAAAATATAAGATTTCTAACAGTGGGGAATCAAAAATTCAATATAATTTCACTGTTTTTTCTTTTCCTAACAAAGTATTAATGCCATTTATTCCTCTGACCCCTAAATGCTTATATCTGAAAATTCCTACAAAAGTCAAGAATAGCTTGAAGGACCTTTGAAAGAAAATGATAAAATGCAGAACTGTTTTTTAAAAAAATATTCTGTAACACGCATACATACACATTCACATATACCACTTTGGTCCTGAGGTATTTATTTATTTATAAAATATTATAATTATAATTTACACAATATTATATTACATGCAGGGTGATTCCTCACCTACCTGACTCTCTGGAAATTTGTATAAAAGATTCCATGCCTTTTTCACCATAGCTGCCTTCAGAAGCCAAGGTGGAAACATAGTTCCATCCCAAAGCTCTCACAATGTCCACCATTGCCTGGGCTTGGAAGGAATCCGGAGGAACAACCCGTGAGAAGAAATCGTAGCGCCGGTCATCACTTAACTCTGGTGCAGTTGAAGCATAACTGATTTGGGGTATCTATAGGGAAAAAGAACAGTTAATGGGACTTATGAATTGATAAACTCAACACATGTACAACACAATTAGTTTCAGCTGTAATACAATTAGCCTTCCAGATGCTCATCTGTTACTTTTTATCTTCATCAGCCCTTAAGTGAAAGTCAATGAAGCTATCTTTCAAATAATTTTCATCACAGGAATACTAATTGGTAGGTATTATTTCTATCAGCCTTGAACCCCAAACTTTCATTAACTTGCTTTTGATCAAGGATAGGTTTATGTATATGCCTAGATTTAATTGCAGATAAACTTGAAGTAAATGCAGCTGCTGAATCAGTCTGGTGCTGGGTGAATTGCCCCTAACGTTTAAACATCTGTAGTGATTTGATATTTCAACTTCCTCAGGTTACTATATGCTACCATCATTTTGCACTGGTTATCATCCATTTCATTAACAACCGTTGTCTACAAATAATAAATCCAGTTAATCAGATAATCATCTCCAGCATGATGCCTCCCCAAACTCCAGTCATTTAGTGAGGTAGGACAACTTCAAGGAGCAGTTTGATTCTTAAATAAGAAAAATGGGTTTCTTACTGAATACATTTCTTTTGGCTCAAGAGGGAAAGTGACACCGAGAAGTATAAGCAAAATTCTGAGGTGTTTTAAATACAATAAATGGGGCTCTTTTCTCTGCCTGAAAAAAGGAGGCCTTCATCCAATAATATTTTTCCCCAAAATAACCCTTCTTCTTTCTAGCGTATTCCCACAGGTGCAGGTCTGCTTTTCGGATCACTGAACGCCACTTTGCACAGTCAGCTGCATCTCCAGGGTGCAGGCCCATGGCTTGCATAACTTGTTCCCAACAATAATCCTATGCCACAAATTTCTGAAAGATTCCCTGAATAGTTGAGATATGAACAAAAAACCCTATGAAATGGAGTGGGAAGATCACTGCCATACTTCTACTATTAATGTATTTTTAGTTATTTAAAACATTTATATAGCTGCTGGTCTTCTAACCAACTCTGAGTGTCTCCCAATGTATGTATGTATGTATGTATGTATGTATGTATGTATGTATGTATGTATACATGCTAACTAATAAATCCCATTGGATTAATTGGTCCTGATTCCAAGTAACAAATACACTGTTTTTCAAATTTATCAAAAAAAACACCCCCATCTAGATTAACAGAATATTTTCACTGTTTACCAAGGGGCTAGATAAACATATTAAAAATGTACATGATTAAATTGTTACAGAATCACATTCAGAGCTTTAGATCTTTTCCTTTTTACTCTAGTTGGAAAAAAAGTGAATATAAGTACAGATAGCATCGAAGACTCTGCAAAAACATATTATTGTACTTTTAATTTTTTCTCTCCCTCTTCTCATTTTTTTTTTATTTCTCATAAACATGTCTTAAATGTACAGTCTCTTATCCATTGTTAACTATACATATTCTCTTTTAACTTTCTTATTAGTTCATTCTTCATCCTAAAAAAATTAAGTATACCTGGGGTTGCTCTTCTACCATTCTATCTCCCTTATTTTACAACAATCCTTCTTCTCCTTCTCCTCTCTTTCCCTTCCCTCCCTTCTTTTATCCTCTTTTTCTTTCTTCTTTCCTCCTCTCCTTCCCTCCTCTCCTTCCCCTTCCTTTCCCCCACTCCTCCCTTCTTCCTCCCTTTCTAACCTTCTCTCCTACTCTTATTTCCCCTCCCTTTCTTCCTCTCCTTTTCTCTTTCTTCTGTTCCTCTCTCTCCTTCCTCTCTTCTCCCCTCCTCACTCTTCTCATTTTTGTTCCAATACAACTTGCAGCTTTGTAGTCCATTTTTTATTATCTCTATTCCCTGAAGGAGCATTGCCATTCCTAGGTATATAGTCATCAACTTAGATATACAAAGCAAACAACATCTGCTCAAGTCAGTCTTTTTTAAAAACTATTTTTTACTATAAGTCTGGTTCATTCACTAAATTCAGTTCCTGAATAGTCAGGTCACTGATGAATTATAAGCTGCGAATTTGTTCCCAAGGGAATGCTACATACCTGTAAATAAGCAGGTATTTGTATAAATAAGCAGTATATTTGTAATAAATATAAATCTGAAAGAGAGTCTTAGGGAATCTGAAAATTTACATCTTGCTGGGATGTAAGTAATGGATTACTTAATTACCATGGACAGTGCATGGTCAGATCTCAAGGGCCTTTTGACATAGAAATGACACCCTTGTTGTGTGTATAAACTTGCACATTTATTGAAATATCTATCCATCTTTCCAATGCTGAATTCAGATGATCTCTGTATCTCAGGCAAAAAATGCATACTCATGAAGGTAAACCAGAGATAACCCGAAGTGGTAAAAGAGGAGGAGATGGAGGAGGAGGAGGAGGAAGAAGAAGAAGAAGAGGAGGAGGAAAATACAGGTTTTGTCAAACTCTCAAGTAGGCACAAATTAGGGTTTGAACAATACAATTAGAAGTAATATTTGTTTTATTTCAGAAATGGTCAACATTGCAAACTGTTGAAAACCGTTGATTAATTTGATAGTTTGATGGTGAAACAGAACTTACATACATTTCTAGTTGACATCTAGCACTCTCTGTTTCCATGCCCACCTTTCCACACACGTGCATGTAATGTAATATTTATTTATTTAATTTATTTATTAGATTTGTTTGTTGCCCATCTTGCCATGGCAAATAAATTTAATAAATAAATTTGTATTTATTTGATAAATATTTGACATCCATTTCTCAAAATCATTCATTTTAATTCTCAATTTTTTTTCTCTCAATTATCCCTTCTTTATCTTAAATAATGTCAAAACCATCACACACAAAAAAAGAACCCAGAATCTGGTGTCTCTATAATGATGGCCCCAAACTGAATCCTTGACTTACAAACAAGCAATTACACATTGTTCATTACCTCCATTACCTGCCCAAACATCCCCACTTTAAAAGGCCCTGCATTAATGGCTTTTGCATGTTTCTGAATTCCTTGCCACTTAACGGAATCTGGACTGCAAAGAGGCAGAATTAGTTTGGTAAATGTGTATGTTGTAATATTGTGCTGACTTAAGGATGGATACGTAGAAGCAGGAAAAGGCCTAACCTGGATTTGTTGCCCTTGCAAAAAGAACAACATAAACATCTACTCTGTTTTCCATTTCAAGAAATTTCATCACTAAGTTTTTTTTTTCTTTAAGTGGCCTTTCTAAGGTCAGATTACCAAACAGGGGTGGGAAAAACTGAAACCTGAAGGAACCACAAAGTACAAGGTATTTGGGGAGGAAAGTCAGGTTGAGACAAAAGGGTTGCGGGGAGTCTGAAAAATTTAAAAAATTGAATGTAGCATACAAAACACTTATGGTCACTATCTTTATTCCACATGCATTGCTGCTGGCAAGTCCACTAACTATTGTTGCTATAATATTTCCCTAAACTTCCCTAAACTCTGGCTGAAGTTGTCAACTGTGAAGCCATATATTATCACATCAAATTTACATGGAACAAATTATGGATATCAAGTCTAGTACAGCACGTAGGACCACAATTGAGCCCAAAATATATGTTGCTAAGTGAGACATTTTTGTAAAGTGAGCTTTGCCCCATTTTACGACCTTTATTGCCACAGTTGTTAAGTGAATCATTGGAGGTGTTAAATTAGTAAGTTAAGTGAATCTGGGTTTCCCATTGATTTTGCTTGTCAGAAAGTCGCAAAAGGGGATCACATGGCCCCGGGACATTGCAACTGTCATAAACATGAATCAATTGCCCAATGTATGAATTCTGATCAGGGATGCCACAATGGTTATAAGTGTGAAAAATGGTCATAAGTCACTTTTTTTTCAGTGTCGTTATAACTTTGAACAGCCACTAAATTGAGGACTACCTATACAGATTTGCAACATATTCACCATGTTAAATGGAGAGAATCTCCATTGCGATCAATTATCGTGATCCTCACAAAGTTGGCTGGTAGGTTTAAAAAAAAACACCACCTTATCCTCAGTCGATTCTGGTTAGTAGAAGAATGCCTTATTAGTGAGATCAATCCATTCAACCTTTCCTTTTTCACATAGATGAGTAAAACAGAGCAGCTTTTAATCTGGGAGTGCTGAAATTCAGTTTAATTAAGGTGTGGTGCTTTTGAAACATACACATACCTTTTTGGCATTATATCTTATATCTTGGGTCTCCATTGAAAAACAAAATTTGGGTCAGGTGGGTGAAGGGTAGGGATGATAGAAAAATGATATAGACATGAGAAGAGGATGAGAAGGAACATTGTAAACCAAGATAAACTTGATAGGGGATTTAGCTTAACCAGGGGTGGGTTCTACTTACTTTTACTACCGGTTTGCAATGGGAGCACGCGTGCATGCGAGCACTTCTGCGCATGCACAGATCGTCAATTATGATGTCTGGGTGGGTGGGCGGAGCCTCCCGCCACTTTACTACCGGTTCTAAAGAACCGGACAGAACCAGGAGCAACCTACCACTGAGCTTAACATATAATAATTCAAAGAGAAAGACTTTGCTTCCAAATTGATATTATAACACAATCTGGCACCATCATATTTTACTGAAAATAAGGGAGAAGGCAGCTTACCTTTGAAAGTTATAGTTTTTACAAGAAGAGAAAGCCATATCAGTTTATTTGCTTAATGGAAAATAGGCAGCATCTCCATACAAACACAAAAGAAGTAGACTGAAGTGTCCTTACACCCACTGCTTCCCCTCCCCCCACCCCATGAGTGAGTTAGTCTGAATTCAATTTATTCTTCCTGGGTTCTGAGTTTGTCAATAGGTGTAAATCAAGAATTTTGGCTTTAAAACAAACTACTTTTTTCAAGAAAAATACAGTTCCATGGATGGCTTGTATAATAATTTTTTAAATCAATTCTCATGCCTGAGAAATCCATAATTTTTGATATCTTGAGAGAACCACAGAAAATTTGTAGCTGGCTGATTTATCACTTTCTTTTGAAATGCAGCTTCTAGCTT